TCTTTGGGTGTATGAAAATTGGTGGAAAAATATGGTGGAAAAGATGACAGTCCCTAGAGAGAGCTTAGGGTGACCTTATATGGTGTAAAACAACTAAACCCACTCTAAAAAGGTCTGGAAAAACACTCCCAAAGCAAAACAAAATCACAAACAATTAAGGAAACAAACTAGGAAAGAATCCTTCTTTGACTAGGAAACACTCCCAAGCATATATTACACTCCCCTAGGAAAAATCGGAAAGGTCTTCAAATCTTCAATCTTCCACAGCAGTGCAGTTTTGACGGGATTTCAACTCAGGCTGGCTTGACTTGCAAGTCTGGAGCACTTGGCTTGGTATAAAATTATGAAACTTTGACACAATGATCATCAATGTTTTAGCTTTCTTCTCCAATTGGCCTTCCTCTAAAATTCCATCGAAAAGTCAATTTTCAGTCGAAATACTTCCAAGAGCACAAAATAGCTGAAAATAAGGAAAGTAAGGTAATAACGCACTTTTTAATTAACTTTCATACAAAAACCAAATATAAGAGGTGTAAAAATATAGGAAATAATACACTTATCAAGGGTGATAATAACGAAGATCTGAATATTGAGTATACGATGAAGAAATATGATGACTTGCTGGCTGCCTCACAAAAACTCAACAAACAAAATGTCGAGCTCGTCAAATCTGTTGATGTGTTGAAGTTGGAAAATAGCAGGATTGCAGACAAGGTTCAATCCCCTGACTCAAATTCCGAAAAGGTAATGCAAGTATGAACGAAAAGTTGATGTTTTTGTAAAAAAAAAAAAAAAAGACTGATCAGAATAAATTAATTGCATCTCTAACTTCTGACAACAAAGCCCTTGAACTTGAACGTAAAAATTGAAAGGAAATGATTGTTTCTTTAACCAATGGTGCAGAAAAAATTAACAAGATAATTAGCATGGGAAGAAGAGATGGTGACAAACGAGGCTTGGGATTTGAACCAAGTAATAAGTCTTCCGCTGTGTCTAAAACAAAGTTTATCAAATCCTCTTCATCTATTGAACCTTCTGCCACTCATGAAGTCAAGAAATTCATTCCAATTTGTCACTTTTGTGGAACTCGTGGACACATAAGAAGCAATAAGTTTCGAAACAAATTTGTTAGTTCAAATTCTCATGTCATGGGTGGAAAAGTAAGTATCCAACATAAGATTCAAATCTTATGAAAGAGGTAAAACACTTATCCAAACCATCATCTTTTCATTGTTTGCCATCAACTAAGACAAAGTTAGTTTGGAGGAAAAAGGAAAATCATAATTGTATGTTTGCCTCCACTAATGTCGTGCATGAACCCACTGCTTTAGAAAATTTGGATATTAAATATCTTGTTGCAAAACCTTTAGATAATCTTCAATTTGACACTCTTAGAAAGTCTTTAGGTATTTGTTTTTTTGAATAATTGTTTGTGTTTTGATGCATGCCAAAACACTCCAACTGTTCTTTTCTTTGTTTTTGTAACATAAATTGCATTAAACTCTAAGTACCTTCTTCAGCACGTGCTGGGATTGATAAGCGATATCAATCCTAATGATATCTGGAAGCTTATGCTGATCTTAAATTGTATTTTTGGCTTGGATCACTTTGAGCATATCACTGTTGGGTTTATGTGAACAGTTCTCAATTGTCTTTGTTCTTTATAAGGTCAATTAAATGCCCTTTATATTAAATCTCATGTCTCGCATATAGCATATACACTCTGATCTTGCTTAACAATATTGAATGAATCCTCACATTGCCCTTGTCTTGATACTAGATTTGCATTGTACTTTTCATTACTGAGCTCACAAAGTCATAATCACTTTAATTAAAAGTACAGTAAAATGAATGCTTGATCCTTGCCAAGTAACCGAGCCTCTTGTCTAACCCACGTCAAGGTTCGCGTCAAAAAGCTTTGATCTTATACACATTGCTTCTCTTTATAGCCTACATGACTCGGGTTAGTACATCCTAGGGGTACTTTAACACCCATTGTCTTAAAAGTCAACTGACTTGAGTACATTGATTTAACACCCGTTACATGGGTCTTGTAGAAAGCTTGATAAAGTTAGCTTTAAAAAAATAAAAATAATAAAAAAGGGTGAAAGTGGTGACCTCTATATGTATTTTGTATGTGTTTATTCTCTATTCTTGGCTTGTTCTTGGTTGGACTTTTTCGTTTTTATTAAGCAAGTTTAGTCACATAACATGAGATTTTGGGCTTTGATATTTTCTCATTTGATGGACTTTATTTCTTACAAATACTTTTGATTCTCCATTTTATTATCCTTATGTTTGATTAAACCTTTGTGATTTGATGTGCCTTAGATCCTGAAAGGCTTTACTTCAAATACTTCTAGAGAGATATTGGTATTGGCTTTGCTTGTCTATCCTTCTGCACAATGTTGACATGAACTCATGTTTTTTGTTTTTTGTTTTTGGGCATGTATGAAGGAAGAGTCTTGGTCTCTTATTAAGCATAGTAATTGGTGATTCTATGTATTTTGATTGATGTCTTTGTGGTTTCGTTCTCTTTTCTCAAGTGCTATGCTTATGTTTTTTTTTTTTTTTTTTTTGTTGTGGTTTTATCTTTTATTTTTTTATAAATAAATAAAAAGGCATTTTTCCCATATGGTATCGTTTTATGCTTCTTGTTTCCATGTGTAGCCTGATTTTTCTTTCCATTGCTCATCACAGTCTTCACATCGTATCTCCCTATGCTCTATAATGAAAGAGAAGAAAGCTTTAGAAATTGAATATCCAATCAAGAATACTCTCAAGTTGAAGGGCTGGAATATAATGAAACATTTGCTCTTGTTGCTCTCTTGCCATATATGCATGCCTCTTATTTTTCATCTCTTTTTTATTGAGTGCTATCATTGTGTTCATTTTTGGCATATATTTAGGGGTAGAATTATTGTTCAATTACACAAGTGTGCAGCTAGGTTTTGAAAGACAAGGAAGTCTTGTAAACCATTCCTCAAGATTTCTGTATCGTTATCAATTATATCACTTTCAAACTTAAAGTAAAAATTCACGAGACTCTCTCTTTTGACATCATTGGAATGTGTATGACCAAATAAAGCCTAACAGACACGTAAACAAAGAGGTAAGTATCATGTATTATGTTTATACAATTGAATCTAAGATTGTGTATGTTGTTCTTGTAGGTCAATGGATCTTGGCTATGAAAGATGAGACTTTTGCACCTGTTGCACATTTGGAATTGGTGAGGTTATTGCTCGTTGTCACTTGTCAAGCCAAATGGACATCAAAAGTGTCTTCCTTACTAGTGCCTTCAAGTAACCACACATGTTGAGCAACCTACAATCACGACAAGATAAAGCCCTTTAATTGCTTCATTGGTTAATCTCTATGTCTTTATATGTTGGGATTGCAAATTGATTTTTGCCTCTTATTTTTGTTATTATATATGCTCCCTTATGTTCTTTCCTTACCCTTTGGATTTCCTGACAAAAAGGGGGAGAGATGACTGTGTGAAATTATGATAAAAAGGAGGGGAGATTGTGTTGTAGAATTAAGGGGGAGTGATGTTGTATTTTTGCTTTGAATTATATTTCTTCTCCCACATGCTTCACTGGTTTTGTTGTTTCATCAAAATGCAGACTTTACTCTTTTAGTGTTTTAAGCTATCCTATAGGTATTTTCATACACCATGAATGGGAGATACTCAGTAAAATCAGAATATTACTAGATAAAGGCAAGCTCTTCCCATGTGATTGATTCTAAAGTCTGGCTTTGAATTCGGAATTGCCAAACGCTCCATAAAATCAATTTTTTTCTATGGTGCGCAATCAATGGTTTCCTTCCCACTTTTGAGGTCCTTTTAAGGAGCAAGCTCTGCCAGTCTCCTACTTGCCCTTTTTCCATGGAACAACCTGAATCGATTGAGCATACACCTTTGCCCTTGGGCTGCCAGAGTGTGGTTTGCCAGTTTTATTGCTTACAGACCTCTGCCTCAAGCTTTCACTTCGTTGGATAGGTGGATTAATGATCTTTGGTTGTGTGAGACTTTTAATTCGGAGGAGAGACATGATGGATTATGACTCATTTGTCTTTAGCTAGTTGTTAAGATTTCTTGTTATTGTTTTTCACTATATATATTTGTCCCCAGTGATGTATTATTGCTAGTTTTCTTGTTGTTATTTTGTTTTTTCCTTCTTATTTTTTTTTCTCCTTGTTGGTACTCTACAAATCTTGTTTTTTTATTTGAATTTATCTTCTTGTAAATAATTATTCTTTGTTTAATGCAGGTCTTATAGATAAATTTCTAGTATATTAGAGGACAATTAGAGGTCATAGGATAAAGGACAATCTACTAGTGATGAATCTTATGCTCTTTATTTGTTTTTGGGAAACAATTGACATTTAGGTTTAACTTAAATACCTAGAATTTTAGTTTTGAGATTTGAGACATTTTGTGAATTTGTTGGAAGAATGTATGGATTGCTTTTGAAAAGATGTATGGAATGCTTTTGAGATCTATATCACTGTTTAAAAAGAAATTAATTGTTATTTCATATTATAATTCAATAAAGAACAATGACAGGAAAACCTAATTAGTTACCAATCTTTTGAAATACATCAGTGACCAAGCAAGTAGGTCACTAATGTGAGCACGTGACCTTCTTTTAGTGACCAAAATGAGTGTTTTGGTGAACAAATTGTAGCCCTTTAGTGACCAACGTTATGGTCACTAATCTCACTTTTATTAGTGACCACACTAGCATAATCACTAATTTGTTGTGTTGTAGTGACCAATACTTGAGAATGGTCACTAAATAGAATTTGTGACGAGCTTCTAGTGACCATCCAGTTACCACTAATATCTTGGCACTAATTGCATATAGTGTCCAAAAAAGGTAGTTTCTGTGACCAAGTGGGTAGCTACTAATACCTGTTTTTCTTGTAGTGACAGTACAATTCTTGGAACATACAAGTTTTTAACAAAAAATTATAATTGAAATGAACTGGAGTTTGTACCCTTTAACATGTTATCAAGAAACTTTCTCGAGCTTGGAACATTACACAATCTTTTTCCAAATCTTACCAACCGAGCAGGATTGAAAAAGTAATAGCCAATTGATTGGTGTCTTCAACTTTTTGGTAAAAGCCAAGCCTAGAGACTGGTGCATTTCTTTGGGTGTAGATTACCCCACATCTCACAACAGCTCATCCAATGGCCCACATAATTGGCGCACCCATGCACCTGGCGCATTGTACTTTTTTCGTGGGGTAGAAAATACCAAAGTGTCTCACAACTTCACTACCGGCCTTGATATTTTCATCAAACATGGCAAAAAGGTAAGTTTCTATAGCTTTTCCAGGCCTCTTCGGAGTCCCACTAGTACCTGTCACATGGTTGATTAAATTCTGGTAGAATGTTTGTGCATTTTTAGGGGTTGCAGCATCACCACCTTTGGATGGCCAACCGCTCTCCGACACGACGATCTCCACGTTGGAAGCATTGGCTTTCTCAAGAGCCGAGTACTGAGCATCCAGAAGAGCATCAAACAGGTTTTGGTACTTTACACCGTCCGGCATCGTGACCCCTTGTGAAGTGAATAAGGCATAGGCAAGGTCTATGTCAGCAGGATTTGCAGTGTAGCTGAAGTAAGGGTACACATTGACAAGAAGAGGGGCCCCATTGCTGGCTAGGAAGTTTATAACTGGGGTTATGAATGACTTTGCAGCATCACTATATTTTCCAGCTGAAGGAGGGTAGTCATTGTCCACGTGGGATGTGTCAATTGCTGTTGAGACTTTGATCTGGCCTTGCAGATTGGCTGCTACAATTGCACTATGAATGTTTTGGATGGCTGGGAGGAGATACTGGGCCTCTGCATCGGTGGGGTGTACTTCGTTCCCGACCGCGATGTATTTGAACTTGACGTCAGGCAAGTAGGCTTGTACATTCTTTTCGACCCAATCTGTTGCAGCATCAGCATCATTGAGGCCTTGAAGCTTGTCGATGGGGATGGTCACGGTGAGTTCTATGTTAGAACCTTTAAGGGCTTCATAGGTTGGATAATTGGGTTCATAAATTCTCATTCTTCCAATGCCATTGCTTTTGTACAAGTCAACGACTTCTGTTGGGGATGGTAAATTGTTGCCATTTTGTCCATAACAAACACCAACAGATTGTGCACCTGAAATACAAGCATCAAAGTTTCAGCTTGTGAAAGCATGTTTGGCAACAAGAGAAACAACTTGCTTAAAGAATGTTTTAAAGGATGAAAATTTTAATTTCATACATGAAATGACCAAAGAAATTACTACAACTCCAATTGCTTCTAATTCAGAATTTGGATAGAGATGCAAGGGACATGTAATTCAAGTGGTTAAGAGTAGTCACCCTTGTATCCGAGGTCCTATGTTCGAATCCCCCCTTCTCCAATATGGCTTGTATTTTAAAATAAAATAAAATTTGGATAGAGAAAGCAGAAGTTTTCTGCATGGTATATATATGCTTTAATATATCATAATTTCAATTATATAATGAAACAGAACTACTTAATATAATCTACCTCAAACTCTTGTACTTTAAACATGATTGAAGAAATAACCTCACATCAATCTACCCACGTAAGCTAGAAAACAGGTTTGATGAAAAAGCATGGAAAATTATTATATTTGCTTGATGCCATATATATATATATATATATTCAAAAGCAGAAAGCAAGACCTGTTATTTGCAGGGCAGGCATCAACAAAACAAGTAGCAGCAATATGGAAGCCATAAGAGTTTTTGAAAGTGAGACCTGTTATATTTGCTTGT